ATAGCCATTATGCCAACTGCTGGTTCCCCATTTATTTATTTTTCTAAAAATAATGTTCTTTTTCTTTTTTTTTTTTTTTTTTTGGAGAGGTTTTTGCTAGAGGGCACATGAGCTCACCAGAAAGACAGAGACAGAAAGCGAGAACTCACCCCCCAGCGGGATGGCCACGCCGCGATCCCTTCTCCTCCACTCTCCTCTTGGGATCTTGGGCATGCACACACACATGCCTGGTGTGAGTTTAAGCCACTGGGTCCGGGACACGAACTGCAGTTGACTACATGGGAGTCCAGCGACATAGCCATTACACTAACTACTGGTCCCAGGTTTGTCATCTTTCATCATTTCTTGCCTGAACTTAAAAATGCAATGTTTAAATTTTGTTTTCATCTGGGAATATGACAAAGTGAAAAATATTAAGTTTTTAGAAGAGACTTAAAACTAAGAGATGTTCAAAACCATCTGAAACAAGCCCAAGTGAGGGTTATGGCACTGTTTTTCAGACTGCCACAATAACCTGTCATCAAAAAAGATTATGAGGCCTAATACATACTTGTAATAAGTCATTATTTAAAATACAGGGTATGAGGGTAAACATTTAACAGAGCCTTTTTGTCTTTTGGAAGGGGAGGAAATTATACATATTATATATAATGGCATGTGTACTTCCTAGAGAGAGTGGGAAACTGAGAAAGCACACACACACCCCGCATGGGGCATGGTCACTCTGCAATCTCTTCTCCTCCATTTCCCCTTGTGGAATATGGAAATACACACATGTGCCCAGCAGCGTGTTTCTCAAGTCACTAGATGGAACTTGCACTGCACAGCCAAAGATGTGGGATCCACCCACCTTAACCAACACACTATGGGCTAGCTCCATTTAGTTCCTTTAAAAGTCCCTGTGATGACAAAAATTCCACTAAGACATTACAGGTAATTTACTCCTTGGCTGCAGTTCTTTTCCCAGAAGCCCTTTTTCAAATTGAGCAGGCAGGATAAAGTTTAAATTTTGGGGTGGTAAGGAGAGGAGGAAACAACAATTCAAAAATAGTAGTTTTATTGTTAACAGACTGAATGCTATGTCTCCCTCAACTTTGCATGTTGAAGCCCTACTACAGCTTGGATATTGGTTTGCGCTCGCCAGACAGACAGAGAGACAGAGAGACAGAAAGCGAGAAATCACCCCCCCCCGGGTGGGGGGATGGCCACGCTGCACACGGGCCCAGCGTGAGTTTAAGCCACCAGGTCCGGGATGAGAACCACGGTTGACTATATGGGAGTCCAGCGACATAGCCATTACGCTAACTTCTGGTCCCAATCCCTTTTTTGTTCTATCTTGTCATTAAGTTTTATAATGATAAAATTCAGATTTAATTAAAACATAAAATCACTTTTTCTGTCTATAGTAATTTCCTGTGAATCCTAAAGGGTTTCAAGAGGAAAATACTGGAATATGAAGCCCTTTGGAGTTGTGTTTGCTATTTCACCTAAAATCAATCCATCTACAAACCAGATTAGATTAAACAAGAATTAAAAAGATGAGAAAGAGTGATAATAGAAAAATAGTCTTTTGAAGAGCCTTGTTGTACATGGGACAATAAAAGGGGATGACAGTTAAAGGGGGAAAGATAGGGCCAAAAGAGTCTGTCATCTGTTCTATAGACCAAATAAATTCCCCAGGACTGGCAGATGGCCTGGTAGTTAAGGGCATTGGACTCCCACATGGCTGATGTTGTTCAAGTCCTGGACCTGGCAGCTTGCTTTCTTACTTTTCTTCTCTCTCACTGTGGTCAAATTAAAATAAATAAATAAATAAAAGTACAGTTAAATAAAAAAACTCTTTTAAAAAATAAGCACACAAATAAGTAAATTCCTCATGTTTGTATGCTGTTGGAATGGCCCAATGGAGCAAGAAAAAGAGATGATGCAGGAGAGAGAGAGTAACATCTCTGGAGTAATAATAGGTAAGGGCTGATGGGATATATGCACACATGGGAGGTTAACTTAAAATAAGAATAATGACTAACTGTCCAGAGGAACATGAGGGAGAATAGGCAAAGATACAAATAGGTAAGCAGCTTTGTTGGTGGAAATGTGGAAGTCCTCTTCTGATTGCTTCTCTTTTCTCTTTGAAAAAGGAGAGTAAGTTTATTAACTGAGAGTAAGAACAAGGAGAAGAGGTAGAAGTTGGAGGAAAGATAGCAAGTGTGAATTACCTAAATGGTGAATGTACCCAGTTGTTGCTGTGTATTTCTCTTAAAATGTTAATAATAAATTTATTTTAAAACTCCTCTGTTTCTCCACTGCCTTCAAGATAATATAAATTCATGGGACCAGCAGTTAGCGTAATGGCTATATCGCTGGACTCCCACATAGTTGAACGCGGTTCGAGTCCCAGACCCGGCGGTTTAAACTCACGCTGGGCACGTGTGCATGCATGCCCAAGATCCCAAGAGGAGAATGGAGGAGAAGGGATTGCGGCATGGTCATCCCCCCTGGGGGGTGATTTCTCGCTTTCTATCTCTCTGTTTCTCTCTGTCTGGCAAGTGCACGCACCCTATAGTAAAAACCTCTCAAAAAAAAAAAATACAAATTCATCAGCATTAAAGACTCTTCTTGATTTGTCTCCTTCATAAACCTTAATCCCATCTTCTTTCATGTTCTCATCACAATTTATGTTCCAATCAATTACTTAAATGTTCTACCCTAATGGATTTATGTTGAGACCAGCAGATGGCATAATGGTTACATGGTGGACTCCCACAAGTCAACCATGGTTTGAGTTCCAGACCCAGTGGCTTAAAACTCACACCGGGTGTGTATGCATGTGTGCCCAAGGTCCCAAGAGGTAAAAATGGAGGGGAAGGGATCACAGCATGGTCATCCCCCTGGAGGCTGACTTCTCACTTTCTGTCTCTCTGATTCTGTCTCTCTCTCCAGCAAGTGCATGCACCCTACAGTAAAACTCTCTAAAAACAAACAAACAAAAAAAAAAAAACATGGGCTTTATGTTTAATGCCCTGTGGCAGGCTGTATTTTCCAAACATACCTGAAATAAAATATTCCATCCCACTTTTTCCACAATGTGACAAGCGGAGTCTACCTCTCTATCCCCTTATATGTGCAATAATTTTGGTCAATAGAATACAGTAGATATGACACTGCCAGTTCTGAGAGTAGCCCTTAAGTAGTTTGGCAGTTTCTGTTTTTTCCTTTTGGAATGCTTACTCTTGGGATACATCCTCCTGGAACCCTGCAACCCAATCACCAAGCTGTGAGAAGCAAAAAGTATAAACGTCATTTCTGATAGGCAGTTCCAGCTGTTCTCCCAGTCAACAGTCATTATCAGATGCCAACTACATGAGTGAACATCAGTTGAACCTTCTGATGACTGAACCCCACACATCATACTGCAACCATGTAAGATCCCAATCAAGAGTCATCCAGATGAATCCAGTAATTTCACAGTTACAAAAGATAGTTTGTTTTCAGCCCCTAAGTTATAAAGTGGTTTGCTACACAACAGATAACTAGAACTATTTTGAGTGCTGATGTGGTAGTTACCAATTATAGCATAAAGAAATTTCAAAAAGTTTATGGCAAATGAAATTAAAATATGAGTTTCTTTTGGTACAAAAAAATGCTGAAATCCATGCAGTTTTCAAATTATGAATATGTATTTTCCATGAACTTTTGGAAGATGCCCTCATAGTAATAGTAGTAATGATAAACAGAGGATCTAGAATCAATCATGGCTCTGCCACTCCCTGGTTATGACTTGCATGTTATTTAAATTCCTGAATTTCCATTTTCTATAAATGGGGATGATGATAATAACCACCTCACCTGACAGTCTGTGGCCTTAGTTAATATTAGGGAAGGACTAAATGTTTCTGCCCTAATGTTAGTCTTTAGCTCTGGTTTTCTGAGAAAGAAACTTTCTCTCCTACCATTTTGACCTTGTGTTTTTGTATCTACATACTAGCTCCCACCCATGAGAAAAACAGTAATACAGCTTGCTGAGATACATTTAACTAGTAGGCACAGTTACTGCATTGCATACATATTTGTGACCATGTCTTCTATTTTTCTATAACCAGGTAGATTAGGAAGTTTCAGCTATCCTTGCCAATGCAACTAGTTGGTAAATATACTCAGGGACTGCACCCATAGAGCTAGTTATATCTAAGGTACAGATATGGAGAGATGGGAAGCTACTTCAGCCCTAGGACAAAGCAGTGCTCTCCAAACAAACATTAATAAGTACTTACAAAGTGGCATTTTATTTCTCATATGAAAATACAAATACTTTTTGTTCTTGACTTCCTAATAGAGGAAGAGAGAGATATAAATGGGTTTAAGAACCATTTATATCCATTTATGCCCTTGCCCAAGCTATGTTAGGTTCCCCCTGCTTAAGTTACAAATTTCTCCTTCCCAAAATTTTACCACTTTTCATTCCATTTATGTTTTAGCTTGATACAAGGTCATTTATTCAAAGTGTTTTTGTATGGCAGGATTTTAATCAGTATTTGTGGAATGAGTAATATTCTGTGTACAAGTTGTAAGAATATATGTATGTATGTGTATGCAATACTCTTCCCTCACCCCCATGTTATTCCAACACAAATAGCCAAAACCTAGATAAGGACTTCAAAGTAGTATTCCAAATCCAAATGTTAAAATATAAAGGATGTAGGTAAGTAGAAAACTTGTGATATTTTATAATTTACTAAGAAAATAATGTATCAGTGTCACATGACAACCTATTGCTAATTGATGAACATTTTGAACTTGTAAAATTGAAAAATAACGACACAGTAATACGTTTGACATTCTGAAATATCAGTTATATTTCGTATAAAGTACCTATACTAAATCATTATTAATGCCACCAAAAAGCAATAACATCAAAATTTTAGTAATTTAATGTGCTACAGGTACCATGGTAAAATGAACAATTATACAGGAGTCACATATATAAAAATTTACTTATATACCTGCATTATTAGCATTGAGGTTGGCTTCCAGTTCTGCTATCTTGTGTTTTATTTCAAGCATTGAGAGTTGCACTATATCCCTGTTATTAAAAATAATTCTTGTTAATTATGATTCAATCAAAAATAACATGAGAAAAAATACAAAGTAACCAATCAACCACTTGAAGAACAATTTATTATGAAACATTATTTATTGAAAGCATGGTTGAAAATAAGGAATTAGGCTCCTGATGAACTAGTTCCAGAAGGACATAAATATGCACCACAGCTCAAAGAGTCCACCAACCACTTTGTACTGTTTTCTCTTAAATATTACTATGATCACAAAGTCAGTTATCTGGTTACTCAAACCCCAGCTATTAAGAGCTGCAAATTATAGAAAGGAATAATTAGGACAATAGGTAATAACTGACAACCTGAAACAAAGAGAAAAAAGAAATGAATCCAAAAAAATACTCACAAATTTTTAAAAAAGCATTCCAGGGACCAGCAGATGGTGTTAAGGTTATGTCACTGGTATCCCACATGGCTGTGTGGTTCGAGTTCTGGACTAGGGGGCTTGAAACTCACGCCAGACACATGTGCATGCATGCCCCAAATCCCAAGAGTGGATGAGAAGGGACTAAGGCATGGCCAATCCTCCTGGAGGGTGATTTCTCACTTTCTGTCTCTCTGGTGAGAGCATGTGCTCTATTGCAAAAATGTCTAAAAAAAAAAAAAAAAGAAGCATTTCAGGGCCATCCCTGTAACCTAGTGATTAGTGAAGCCAGATCCCACATGGGAGAACAGTTCATGGGAGAACAGTTCAAGTCCTGACCCTAGATGCTTGGAAAACACACCAGACACATGTGTGTGCATGCCCCAAGTCCTGAGAGGATGCAGAAATGGAGAAGAGACTATGCCATGACCATGCCCCAATGAGGGGTGCTTTCTCCTTCCCAGCTCTCTGTTGATTGCACATGCCCTCTGGCAATTAAAAAAAAAGTATATCACATTATTACATGGTAACAGAATCATTTATTCGATAAATATTGTTCTATGTTTATTATGTTCAAGGTCAGGTGCTGAAGATAACCAGTGTAAAAGTAAAAAGAACAATAGCAACAGTAGCAGCTTACTTCCACTGAACTCATATAACAAGCCAATGCTAAATGTTTTCTGTACATTTCACTCCACCCTGACTCCATCCTGACAACCAATCTTAGCTGAGAAAATAGAGGCTTAAAGAAGTTAATTTGTCTAAGAGTTTATGCTTGCTGAATATTAAGGGCTGTGATTTGAATGTATGCAGGATTTCTCTAAAGTACCTGCTCTGGTGCTCTAATACAGCAGTCCCAATCTGTATGGCGCCAAGGACTGGTTTTATGAAAGACCATTTTTCCTGGGGAGGGGAGTTGTTTGGGGATAATTCAAGCACATATTTATTGTGCATTTTATTTCTACTATTATTTCATTGTAATATATAACAAAATATTTATATTGGGTTGTGAGAAAAGTCATGACGCATTTTTCTGTTTTCCTATACAAAAACGCATCATGACTTTTCCAGTGACCCAATACAATGTGCTATAATGCAAAATCATTGGGAGCCCTGAGCTTATTTTCCTGCCACCAGATGGTCCCATCTGGGGACTCCTAAGAGAATCTAATGAGATGGCTGATCTGATGGGAGTTGGAGTTTCCGCATTTAGGCAGTTATATGGACGTGGGGAGTGGCTGTAAATACAGATGAACCTTCTCTCAATCACTTGTGCACTGCTCACCTGCCTTGTGGCCTTGTTTCTAACAGGTCACTGGGGGTTTTGGGGACTGCTGTTCTAATGCCTCAAACAACATACAGAACCTGTCCTCAGAAGGCTTATAGTTTGGTAGAGAGCAAGAAATAAGCAAGTGATATAGTGTGATTGAAGTCACAATAGAGGAAAGTGCAAGATGAATACATAGTGAAGTCTACTTCTCATGAGGCCTGTGAGTGGGTTGAGAGCATCTTTAAAAATACTTTAAATGACTCAAAGATTCAGTACAAATACAAATTGTATTTATTTATTTATTTTAGAGAGAGAAATCTTTGCGATAGGGTACATGTGCTCACCAGACAAAAAGCAAGAAATCACCCACCAGGGAAATAGCCACGCTGCAATCCCTTCTCCCCTCAGGATCTTGGGAATGCACATACACACCTGGTATGAGACTCAAGCCTCCAGGGTCTGGGATTCAAACCATAGTCTGCCCTGTGGGAGTTCAGCAACATAACAATTACTCCATCTGCTGGTCTCACTAATAACTATTTTTAAAAGCATATAGAAAGGGCACTATTTTTTTAAAAAAATAATTTCCTAAGTTGTTCTAAAGAGATGAAAGATATGCATTACTACGCACAAAAATCTTCAGAATTTTAAACAGAAAACCTTCATTAGTGGAATATCAAAATTAAAAAAAAAATTTGTTTTGAGGGGTTTTTGCTATATGGTGCCTGCGCTCACCAGAAAGACAGAGAGAGAGAGATAGAAAGCGAGAAATCACCCCCCAGTGGGGATGGCCACACCGCAATCCCTTCTCCTCCAGTCTCCTCTTGGGATCTTGGGCACGCTCTGTTTTCCTATACAAAAACGCATCATGACTTTTCCAGTGACCCAATACAATGTGCTATAATGCAAAATCATTGGGAGCCCTGAGCTTATTTTCCTGCCACCAGATGGTCCCATCTGGGGACTCCTAAGAGAATCTAATGAGATGGCTGATCTGATGGGAGTTGGAGTTTCCGCATTTAGGCAGTTATATGGACGTGGGGAGTGGCTGTAAATACAGATGAACCTTCTCTCAATCACTTGTGCACTGCTCACCTGCCTTGTGGCCTTGTTTCTAACAGGTCACTGGGGGTTTTGGGGACTGCTGTTCTAATGCCTCAAACAACATACAGAACCTGTCCTCAGAAGGCTTATAGTTTGGTAGAGAGCAAGAAATAAGCAAGTGATATAGTGTGATTGAAGTCACAATAGAGGAAAGTGCAAGATGAATACATAGTGAAGTCTACTTCTCATGAGGCCTGTGAGTGGGTTGAGAGCATCTTTAAAAATACTTTAAATGACTCAAAGATTCAGTACAAATACAAATTGTATTTATTTATTTATTTTAGAGAGAGAAATCTTTGCGATAGGGTACATGTGCTCACCAGACAAAAAGCAAGAAATCACCCACCAGGGAAATAGCCACGCTGCAATCCCTTCTCCCCTCAGGATCTTGGGAATGCACATACACACCTGGTATGAGACTCAAGCCTCCAGGGTCTGGGATTCAAACCATAGTCTGCCATGTGGGAGTTCAGCAACATAACAATTACTCCATCTGCTGGTCTCACTAATAACTATTTTTAAAAGCATATAGAAAGGGCACTATTTTTTTAAAAAAATAATTTCCTAAGTTGTTCTAAAGAGATGAAAGATATGCATTACTACGCACAAAAATCTTCAGAATTTTAAACAGAAAACCTTCATTAGTGGAATATCAAAATTAAAAAAAAAATTTGTTTTGAGGGGTTTTTGCTATATGGTGCCTGCGCTCACCAGAAAGACAGAGAGAGAGAGATAGAAAGTGAGAAATCACCCCCCAGTGGGGATGGCCACACCGCAATCCCTTCTCCTCCAGTCTCCTCTTGGGATCTTGGGCACGCACACACACACATGCACCCGGAGTGAGTTTAAGCCACCGGGTCCAGGACTTGAACTGCGGTGGACTACATGGGAGTCCAGCGACATAGCCATTACGCTAACTGCTTGTCCCAAAACCAAAAAATATTTTGACATTACAGTATTTGTATACAATACACTCCATTCCTATTTATAATAGCAAGTGCGGGACCAGCAGTTAGTGTAATGGTTATGTCGCTGGACTCCCACGTTGTCGACCGCAGTTCGAGTCCCGACCCCGTGGCTTAAACTCATATCGGGCGCGTGTGCATGCGTGCCCAAGATCCCGAGAGGAGAATGGAGGAGAAGGGATTGTGGCGTGGCCATCCCCCCTGGGGGGTGATTTTCTACTTTCTCTCTGTCTCTGTGTGTCTGGCGAGCGCATGTGCCCTATAGCAAAAACCTCCCCCCCCCCCAAAAAAAAATAGCAAGTGCATAATTAATCATACAGAAATGAACCATTCCTATAAAATACTGTTTGGGGAAGTCGCCTGCTGTGTCACGCTATCAGACGCGAGGGAGGTCCACATCGACCTCTGGCTTCTGCTGAAACAGAGGGGGCCCTGGGGACCTGCGTGAGGCTTCGGGGCGTGCAGGAGCCTCACACCCGCGCGGGAGCCCGCGCCGCCTGCCCACTCACTTCTTGTGGATTTCTTCCAGCAACTCCAGTTTAAGGCGGTCGGTGCTCACACCGTCGAAGTTGTCGTCTCTTCCTTCCCCCATAGTGTCAGGCCAGAGACCTCCACGCCCTTCCCCTCAACTCAGCCTGGCGCACAAGACCTGAAAGGTCATCCAGTGCCAGGAAACATAAGGAGCCTTCGCGAGCCGTCGCCATAGCAAACTGCCTCCTAGTCGTGGTCTCCCACCTTCTCCTTCTGCGTCAGCGCTGACGTCATAGGGCGTCGCGGCAGCTACCGGGCGCGCAGCGTGGCGGCTGTTCAGAGAGCGTTCAGCCTGGATAACCCTTTCGGTTTTCTTAACTACGTAGCTGAGTGTAAGGGGTTGGCATCATCTTTTTCTCGCCTCCTTTTGTACTTGGTTACCTCTCTAAACACTGCACAACGCTCTTTTTCTTTTACTTCTTAGCCCTTTGTAGAGAAATGCTGGATCCAAGAACGGCAGCTCCTGTCTTTGGTTGAAAGCATAGAGGCTCTGGTTGGGAGTGTTTGCGGAGGAGCTGGCTTTAAAAGGTGGGGAGACTTAGGATCCCCTAGTACAGATTATTCCGTCTTGGAGTTTAGACAGTTGGTGGGCTGTCCACTCGCATACTTCAAATCTGCCTCCTGCAAATTGAGATTTAATATATAGATATAAAACAGTCTAAGTGCCATGATCCAGTCTGAGCCAGCCCCTCCTACCCCCCAGCCCCCCATCTTGGTCGCACTAGTGCCTTGTATATTCAGGGAGATCACTGGCGGCAAACCTAGAACTTGCCCACGTGGGTCAGCCCTACGGGGTTGTATTTTAGTTTTCCTGCTGCACCCTTATCTGGGCCTCATATTTTTAATGATGAAATTTGTATTCTCCTCCTGATACGTATGTTTTAATATCATCCCTTACCACCATCCATCTTGGAGTGGGGAAATGCAAAGCCTTTACCTTTTGACTTTCTCTGTAATCTATTTTTCTAAATTAGTTTGGAAAATGTAAACATGGGGTTTTGTGTTCCGGCAGAAATCAGCACAAGTGGTCTGTATGGTGAATATCAATTATTTATTCTAGTTCATCTCCAGGGCTGAGAAGAGTAGCCCTTAGTAGGGCTCAAGAAACATGTATGCCTGTAGAAGGAAATTCTTTCAAAGATACAGTATACAAAGCCTATTGTCTAGTGCTTGTTTTATTTGGTTGCTACTTTACCAAAATATTTTTGGTAAACTGATTAGAAACTGACAGCAAAAAGCAAACAAAAAGCAAAACTATGGTATACTTGAAGTTTGTACAAGATAAATCATAGAATGATTGGTAGGATAAATCCTGGAGCTAAAGGAAAATCTTCCATTAGAAAAGGGGTCATCACAGTGAGAGGGGAGATTTGGGAAATTGGGAGGATCTCTATATTGGGAGACATTAAGTATGGAAATAGTTTGGAAATGAACTGTTGGAATAAAACCTAAGTGTAGTAGCACTGACATGTGTTTAATGTCTACTGTGGTTTGAATCTGTCCGTTTAAAATTCATGAAATTTGTAATATTGGGAAATTTTGGTTATATTGGGAAAGTTAAGAGGATGCTTAATCTAATTATGGTGTTGAAATGTGGGGCCTTTGGGAAGTGACTGGGCATCAGGGTAGGACCTCTGTGTTTGAGTTCTGATGGGTTTATAAAGAGAGGGAATGAGATAGAGACATACTCTGTTCTGCATGCTCTTCTGCCATTGGCTGTGTTTTAGTGCATCAAGATACTCACCGGATGCCTGCATTATGCTCTTAGACTTCTCAGCCTCCAAAACTATGAGCTAAATAACCCTTCCATTCTCTTAAATTGCCTAGAGTCAGGTATCACTGTAATAAAACTATAGAACAGACAAGAGCAATATCCAGAAGGACCTCTCAGATTTGTAAGCAGGAGATAATTTGAAGCATTTTTGAGGAATCTGCTCAGTATCAACTCGGGTCTTTGGGCCAGGAAAGTCAGTGTTCCCCAAGTCTAATGCTACTTGCCAATCACTGTCTTCTGTCTGCATATAAACAACCTGTTCTTGGCCCATCCTTGTTCAGATACTTCATTCTGCCTGAAAAAACTCAAGGTGCTTGCACACCTGCCTGGGAACCGATGACCTGGAGAAAAGGAATCACAGAGGCATGATGAGACCCTTGTGAAGGTCCATCTCTTTCTCTCTCTCTCTCTTTCTTCATGTGTGCATATGCTATCATGAATAAATTTTAAAACTTCAAAAAAGACACAGATAATCCTGCCTTTTTTTTTTAAAGAGGCTTTTATTTTGCTATAAGGCGTGTGCACTCGCCAGACAGACAAAGACAGAGACAGAAAGCAAGAAATCACCCCCCAAAGGGCATGGCCACGCCGTAATCCCTTCTCCTCCATTCTCCTCTTGGGATCTTGGGCATGCAGGCACATGCACCCGGTGAGTTTAAGCCACTGGGTCTGGGACACAAACCACGGTCGACTACATGGGAGTCCAGTGACATAGCCATTACGCTAACTGCTGGTTCCGAAAATCCTGCTTTTTTCATCGCATGCTTTCTTGATGTAATACCATCTACTCATCTCTGCTTCACCCAGAGACTACATAGTCACTCCTTGTCAATTGACTTTAGTAATAAAAATGTCTTTTCACCATGTCTTGCACACTTCTCACTGACTGGACATCTAAATGTCCAGGCCCCATCCCACAACCTCACCCTACAATTGACAGCTCTCATCAGTTTCATTGCCACTCCACTTCCACTCCAATCTTGTCATCACTCAGGGAAGCTTTAGACCTCAAAATCTTAAATTCAAAAACTGCTGTCTGCTAAATCCTCTTATCCTTTCAGCCCCCCAATTCAGTTACTCCCTACACAGCAGGTTTTTATAAACTAGGGCCATCATCCAGAGAGTTTCTGAGACATGGTGATTCTGGGACCCTATCTTGTACCTCAGAGATCTTCATTATTAACGTACTGTAGCAGTTCATTCTTCAGCTGGCTTCCAAATTTCTTTTTCTTTTTTCTTTTTTTTTTTTTTTAAGAGAGATTTTTACCCACCTTTTAGGCTGTTTGTGCAGCCTACCTTCCACCTGTAACCAATGATCGCTCTACCTCACTCCCTCACATTTTTGTACAACACTCTCCCTTCTAAGCAGCACACATCACTTTTCCCAGTCCACCCACATATTTTCCCTGTAAACCACGCAGCTAGCCAGTCTCTTGGAAGTCATCTTCTGGGAGGCTGCCCAATTTAAATCACCTGCCCTTTGTTTAAATAAACTCTGTCAAATTTGGGGTTGTCTAAATTTGTTTTTTAACACTACCATGAAATGTGAAATACTGAAAGCTGGGGCAGGTGGCACTGAGGCCATGAACTCTTGCTTAAGCAGAACAAAGGAACATTTATTAAGCTTGATACAAGCAAAGATATTCCTAAGCAAGGCACAGGCTGTTTGGGCTTTACATCTCTTGATAAGGAAGGATTCCAGGCTCAAGGATCATTCTTGTGTGGCCAAGCAGAGGTTGAAAGATTGTGAGTATGAGAGTGCCTTTCCCAACATTAGGTTACACTAAAACACCCATGAAGACAGGGAAAAACAAAAGTTCACACTAACACCAAAATGTATTAACAGCAAATGTATTGATGATCTATTCTTAATATCTTAGAAATTTTTCTATCAACTATCAATCCAATGAAACTATAAATTGAAATAATACCAGTAGTGTTAAGCAGCCAGTCTGAGACAAACTATAAAGACCATTTTTCCTTCCTCATCTACCTCCTTTAACAAAGACAAAGACTTGGGACCAGCAGGTGGCGTGGTGGTTGTGGTGCTGGACATTTCCACGTGACCTACCAAGGTTCGAGTCCCGGACCTGGTGGCATACTTTCTCACTTTCCTTCTCTTCTCTCTGTGTTTCTCTCACTGGTCAAATTAAAAATGAATGAATGAATGAATGAATAAAATTAAATAAATAAATAATTTAAAAAAAAAAAAAAAAAGACAAAGACTGGCCTAACTTTACCGTGTTGATCTCTCTTTTTTTTTTTTTTTTTGCTCATTTAAAAAATTTAAAAAAAAATTTTAATGAATTAATTTTACACTCATTCACTGAGCATCGTTACAGCATAGAAAATTTCCCATTCAGAAAATACTGCATAGTGGCTTAATCATACATGTTATTGTCAATAATTTTCCATTCCTAGTTTCATATACATATATTTTCCCCCTATTTTTTACCTTTGCCATTTCCCAGTCTCTCTTTTTTGAGGCTAGTGGGAGACCTCTTCTTTACCAGTTAACACTGTTCTCTTTTTTCTTGGGCAAGTTACTTAATCTCTTTGTACCTTAGTTTCCTATTCTGTAAAATGGAGATTCTAATTGTATATATCTCATGGGAATATTGATGATAAAATGAGTTAAACTATGTAATAAAACACTCCTGACATACAGTAAGTGCTATATAAACATTATCTTTATTTCTATAGCCAGTTGATACCCAGAAGGCTTCCCAGAACACTACCCCATACAGCATAGGAGAGGGACAGTCTGTAGGGACAAAGTGAGGGAAAATCCTGGTAGCAGTAAATATTGAGAATCGTTATTAATATTTTAGACACACTACCTGTTGCATCTCAGAGAGCCAAACAGGGCTAGATGAAGGGTTTTGTCTTAGTCTGTTTGTGTTGCTATTGTGATTGGCAGTCAAATAAATATGAGTAGGCAGCCCTCACTGAATAGCAGAAGGACATCTTCCACATCAACCACAGCCTATCAGGGTATGCAACCAGACCCTCCGTGAGAACTCCTTCCTCTTACGTGGCTCCTAGCATGGGGAAGATTGTTATCTTTCCTTGTGCCATCTCAAATATACATAGAATAATTCACCACCCAGATGGGATGCTAGGCCAACAACTTAATCTTCACGGGGGCAATAAACTAATAGAGAATACTATCCATAAATGGATGATCATACTTTCCAAGTCCACACTAGGCATGTATTGATTAGGTAATCAGATTCCTCCGATTCCTCACCTGAAGGAGAGGCAAGCACAGGAGAAAGTCTGAAAAATCAAAGAAAGAACACAGATTCTATGACAGACTTCTAAATGTTTATTATCAACTCTCACAATAAAAGTAATACCTAATGGGGCCAGGAGGTATAATGGTGTTTGGGGCACTGGTCTCCCACATGGTTGACTGCATGGTTTGAGTCTTGGACCCTGGCGGCTTGCTGTCTCTCCCTCTCTGTCTCTCAATGGTCAAATTGAAGAATAATAAATATAATTAAATAATTCTTTAAAAAATACAAAATAAGGGAACCAGCAGTTAGTGTAATGGCTATGTCACTGGACTCCCACGTAGTCGACCGCGGTTCGCATCCCGGACCCGGTGACTAGAAACTCACGCCGGGCGCATGTGCGTGCGTGCCCAAGATCCCAAGAGGAGAATGGAGGAGAAGGGACTGCGGCGTGATCATCCCCTCTGGGGGGTGATTTCTCACTTTCTGTCTCTATGTCTCTCTCTGTCTCTATGTCTCTCTCTGTCTGGCGAGCGCACTCACCCTATAGCGAAAACTTCTCCAAAAAAAAAAAAAAATACAAAATAAAACAGTTTGTTCAGAGAACATACACATGTGATTTAAAAAAGGAAAAAGAATAATAAAATAATGCAGGGAAGAGGCAAAGAGAGAAAACAGAAGAATTCACATATATATATAATTTGTAACTTTTTAAGTCTATAGTTGGGTGATGGGTTTATAAGTGTTAATTCTGTTATGGTTCATATCTTATTACATATAAATTTTTATATGTATGAATTATATATAACATTTTCATTAGAAAAGGTCTATCTCCTAGTGACTCAATGTTGAGAAAGGTTCATTTTCTTTAGTCTGAGACAGGGATAAGCACACGTTTTCTGTAAAGGGACAGGTATAACCTATGTTTCAACTACTCTGGTGGTGTACAGAAGAGCAGCCATAGCCAATACATGAACAAATGGGTAGGTGGTGCTCTAACAAAACTTGAAGAAAATAGGTGTCCAGATGGATTTGGCCTATGGGGCATATTTGCTGACCTCTGATCGAAGGTAACTTTTTAAACTTTAGACTCCCATATTTGCCCTTACATTTCTCATACAAAGCAGATACTGAATGGAATCTATTTACTTTGAAAATCAATTTAATTTCCATTTTAACAGTATAATCTCCTTGGTCTTAGAAAAAGGCTCCATCAGTTCTATGTATTCCAAAGACATAAGTCCATAAACACTAAAGGTCGAGCAATTCAGAATTTTTTATTCACAAAATGCACTCTCTAGACAGTTTCAAATAAAGCCTAATAAAACTACTAAAAGTTCAAAAATGATGAACATAAACTACAGCTATGAAAATCAACACCAATCATAAAAATCAGCAAACAGAAATAAAATACCCTAAAGTATTTATGTATATATTTGTAGCTTAAAGGTCTGTAAATATTTTGTCTTCTGCCAAATAGATCATAACAGTAGGAACTATTATGATCACTCACCATGGATAAAGCCAAGGTTTTAGTATTATTAATTTTGATTATGAATAAACTTTTCTCTTTTAAATAACTTATTGGCTTTTTAATATAAATTCTTCTGACTGAATTCCCAAATAAAAATATATTTATCATGAGTAAACTCGATTTTTTTTATATCTGTTTTTAAGCATCTTGGAAAACTTTTAGAATATGGGAAGTTTTTTAAAATACATTTTTATGCAATTAAGCTGGTAATAATCACTTTGAGTTTTAATATAATACCAATAATATGCTAACATTTCCTAGGTTCCTAGTAAAGCAATACCAGTTTAAATCTAAAAGACTTTATAAATCTATTTGTATTTATTCTAAATAAAAGAGGCTATCATATTTCCTAACAAATGGATAAATTACCAAATAATTTTACAGAACTTCATTTTATTTTTCATAATCAGTTTCTTCCCTCTTTTTAAAATGTTTTCTGAGAAATCTTCTAGTTTAGGATAGTAGTTTTTGTTTTGCTCACATAGTGAAAATTCTGATAAGCATCTAAAAAAAAAATCACAATTAGAACAAAAGGAGACAATATTTTAAGTCATTTGTTCCCATTATAAACAGAACCAGGGTCACTAAATGCTGAATTTGTGTAAATATATAATTTTCTACTTTTATGTAAGACAGAAAATACAAAAATAGTTTAACATTATGTTTAATAAGGTATGCACATATATTATTAGGTTTAGATTAACTGCAAAAATATTTTAGCCACATTTAGAAAAAATAAACTGAGTATATAGCTGCATATTTCTAAAGGTCAGATGCAAGAATACTGATTATTTTCTTTGTAAGTAGAATGCATGCCATAAAATTTATGAAACACTTTGTAGGAATGAATATATTTTAAAAATACTGATTAATCTGTAGTGAAATCCACAGTTGCCTATTTGACAAAATTTCATCCATTTCGTAAGGCTTTGGTATAGGCGATTCTCGACACTTCTATCATTTGTCTTTTTTCTTTGCCTTAGTCTTCTCTTCCTCTGTCTGCTCATCCTTCTCCCCTCTAATGTTTATATTTGATGCTCCTCCTTGATTTTCCTTCTGAGAATTATCAACTACTTGATAGTCCTCAAGGAGTGTGTGCCCTGTTTGTTTGGCAGTTTTCTTCACCATTGCTTTGATGCCAATATTGTTAATATTATAGGCAGTTACACCGACATTGACAGCAGAATCCACAGCATTATGTGTAGCTTCTCCAGCATTATGTCCATACCTTTAAAAGAAAGATCACAGAAAGCACAATGAAATGATAGGTCTTCTGAATTAGTATTAAATAAGTCATATGATTACTGCTATCCTGAGAAAAACCAAAGCTTAGGTTTAAATTTAATTAATAACTTAAAACAGTACAGAATGAGGACCAGCAGATGGTGTGGATATTAAGGTGAATGGATCCCACATGGCTGACTGCAGTTCCAGTTCCAGATCCACTGACTTAAAAATCTCTCCAGGTGAGTGTGTGTGTAGGCCCAACATCCTGAGAAGAAAATGAAGGGCTTATGATGTGGTTATTCCCCACTAAGAAGTGATTTCTCACTTTCTCTTCTGTCTCTCTCTGGTGAGACAGAGAGTGCTTGCACACTCTATAGAAAAAAACAAACAAACAAAACAGAATAAAATCACACTGTAACAAAAACTGTATTTCTTTTTCAGAAGTAAAACTGTGTATAAAAATAAACTCAGACTGAGAATAATGTAATAGAGATGGTTAGATAAAAATAAAATGTAAATTATAACAAAGGTTGTTAATCGGCATCATTTCTTTTTTTTTAATCCTCCCCTTCTGTAAATATAAGGTAAAATCTTCACTGAAGCAACTATAGGACAGGACGAATACAGATTAATTATAATTGGTTTTGAGTTTTACCTTAGACTTTGGTTGAATCTCTTTTTAAAAAGAATTATTTAATTAATTTATTATAATTTTTTAATTTGACGAGAGAGAGAGAGAGATAGAGCAAGCGAGCAAGCAAGCTACCAGGTCCAGGACTCAAACTGCGGTTGCCCATGTGGGAGTTCAGTATCTTAACCACTATGCCACCTGCTGTGTTCTTGGTTGACTCTTTAAAACTATGGGAATCTGAGTTTGTTTTCCATTTACTAGGTTTTTAGAACTGTTTTCCCATGAGAAAGAGAGAGAGAAATTGAGAGATAGAAAGGGGAAGAGGGAGAGAGAGATGGCACTCACAACAAGGTTCAGATGCTGTGATCTACCTCCTGCCTCTGTCAGCCTTGGATCATGAGCAAGCATGTGCCAAGTGTACTAAGGAAGGTCTTCACACTGGAAATGGGAACTTTACCATGTAGCACTCAGAGTGCCATGTTTTACCACTGTGCCACTGTTCAGCCTCAGTTTGTAAGCAGAGATTCTATGACATTCTTCCCCACACCACACTCTACTGCAGACCCACTGGCCTTCTTGCTGCTGCTTAAACCCACCAAGTACACAAAGACATTGAGATCTTTGTACTGGCTGGTCTTCGCCTAAACCTTTATGGCTCAGTTCAAGACAGCTTAACTAAGTTAAACTGCCTTATTCTACATGCCCCACCCCACTTTCGGTCAACTCCCCCCTTAAACTGCTTTTTCTTCTCCCCTAACTTATCATCTTCTATATACTATAGAATTTATGAATGATCACTGGTTTTGTCTTGCGTATTCTATGTCCTGATAGAATATATATCCCACTGGAGATGGTATCTTTGCTTGGTTCTTTAATAGAGGCTAGCTTCTAGAACAGTGCATAACATTCAACAAATATTTATGGAATTACACTAGTGTAATTATTAAACTCCACCTCATTATTTCTTGAGCATTAAGTGCATAGCAAAGTGCCTTGGAAATTACAAAGCATATATAAAAGTTGTTATTGACAAATCCTAACCTGTATCTGTGTTTAATGCTATTTCTATGAGAAAATACAATTTGAGATCCTACATAAGACTACTACAATATACCTTCTTACTTTTTTGTTTTAATCTGTACTGCTTTTTCTGGTATCAGATTTTTAAGGCTTTTTGATACCCATAGGTTTCCCTAAGTAGAGGAATGCTTAAACAACAAAACATCGTCATCAAAAATACAAAATTTTACATTTTCTCCAGGACATGGTAAAATTTGCTAGGTGCTCTTGTGACCTAAATCTGGACATTTTATCCTAACACTGGATCTATCTTCTAAATTAGTAAGTGTTCCATTATTATTAGCTTGCCCAGTGGTTTGGGATCTTTCTGACTTATCTATGCTTGGCTTTTGTAACCCTTGTGCTAGAAATGTGAAATAATCTTGGGCCCTTGAATGATGATTCCATTCTGTCTTTTGCCTAATGTTAATAACTATGTTATAGGGACCAGCAGATGGCATAATGGTTACATCACTGGAGTCCAATATGGTTGACCATGGTTTGAGGTCCGGACCCAGTGGCTTGAAACTCACGCTGGGCACGTGTGCATGTGTGCCCAAAAATTCTGAGAGGAGAATGGAGAAGGCAGTGTGGTGTAGCCATACACTGGTCTCCCTGGCAAGCGCACATGCTCTTTAGCAAAAATCTCTAATAATAATAATTATTATTACAGCTGGTATGCCAAACCTTAACCCTGTACTACTCTTAACTGAAGACTTTCTCAAACAATCACAAGATAGAAAGGCTTCCTGTAACTGCTTTCTGCCAGATGAAGGGAAGGGGTAGAGAGAGAGAGAGAGATGGCTCCCACAACAGGATTTCTTAACCTGTTGTTTGTAACTTGTCAGCATTCCACAGGATCTGCTGATGGTACAGAAAACATGGGGACATTTCGGTCAATCTTAGAACCAGTTTTCCTGATAGGCATCTATTTTTCCTTCCTAGACAAACAACTGCTCAGGCCATTTTTTCATTTGAATTCAAGCTACACTACTGAAAACTTCTAGAAAGCTTATCACTGGTGAGAAAATAAAGCTCATTTTTATTTCTTACTTCTTAATAAATTAACTTTGAGCTTATTAAGTTAGATAACACTACCAAATGAAAAAAACAAAAACAAACACAAAAACAAACTGAAGTATGCCCTGAAAAGGTAATTTTACATGCCCTACCACACTGTCAAACAACCCAACTGCTTTTTCTTCTCCTCTAATTTATCATCTTCTATATACTATAGAATTTATTAATGATCACTGTTTATGCCAATTTATAAGCTGAACTAGACTTTAATTGGTAAGTTGAACTAGACTTTTCAGAAATTTCTCCAATGCATTCAAGTGATGTCTATAAGATAGCATACGCTGAAAGTAATTTTAGATTTCACTCAATAAAAAGTAACATTTTGGGGCTGGCAGGTGGTATGGTAGTTGAGGTGCTGGACTCCTACATGGCCAACCATGGTTCAAGTCCCGGACCTGGCAGCTTGCTTTCTCACTCTCCCTTTCTCTCTGTTTTCTCTTTCTCTGGTCAAAATTAAAGTATAATGATAATAAATAAAATTAAAAATAAATAAATCTTTTTAAAAAAGTAGAAAAGCAACATTTCAGCCATAATGATTTTCAAATCAATGTCTGTAAAACCAAAACTAACTATGATTCAAATCCTGGTCCTGGGCACTTGAAAAACATGCCTGGCACATGTACATGTACATACAAATCCCAACTAAGTAGAGAAATAGAGGAGAA